ACCGTAAAGCAGAGTAGAGTAGAGCAGAGTAGAGTATAGTAGAATACAATAGAGAAGAGTAACGTAAAGTAGAGTAGAGTAGAGCAGAGTACAGTATAGTAGAGTACAATAGAGAAGAGTATAGACTTATAGTAGAGTGTAGTATAGTAGAGTAGAGTAGAGTAAATTGTCGTAGAGTGAAGTAGAGTAGAGTAGAGTAGAGTGTAGTAGAGTAGAGTAGAGTAGTGTAGAGTGGTTAAAGTAGAGTAGAGTAGAGTAGAATGTCGTAGAGTAGAGTGTGGTAAAGTAGAGTAGAGTGTAGTAAAGTATAGTATAGTAGAGTAGAGTGTAGTAGAGTATAGTAAAGTAGAATGTTATATAGTGTCTTAAAGTAGAGTAGAGTGTAGTAGAGTAGAGTAGAGTGGAGTAGAGAGAAGTAGAGTAGAGTGGGTAGAGTACAGGTACAATGGAGTGGAGTAGAAGAGTAGAATAGAGTAAAGTTGAGTAAAGTATAGTAGAGTGTCGTACAGTGCCGTAGAGTGAAGTATAGTAGAGCAGAGTAGAGCAGTGTGTAAAAGAGTAGAGTTTTGTAGAGTATCGTAGACTGTTGTAAAGTGTTCTCGAGTACAAAAGAGTATCGTAAACTATCGTAGAGTCTCGTAGAGTAGAGTAGAGTCCCTTGCAGACACTCTAGGAATACCCCACGATAAACATACATCCAAAACACTGCAATTACAAAAGTTAAAAACATGAAAAATTCTCTTCTGTTTAAATCAGAGAACTTATGAATGAAATAACCTCTCATTTTTTGTATTTGGCCAGGTCTTGTTTTGGGTACTTTTCGAGCTACGTCAGCTTTCAAAACAAAAACTGAATTGGAATTCATCGCTGGAGTAAAAGGATTTGAACGCACCCTGCATGTTCCATGTTCTAAAGTCTCTTTAGGCTACAACTAGCAGCTGATGAATTAGTTTGAAATTATCGCATTCACCATCAAATCCATATATTTAGGCTCCTTCCCGTCTGCTAACTGTGTGATCTGCTGTCTGCCAGTTTCACATACAGGCATAATGGGCGACGAGTCGACGACCACTATACCCCATTCTGGTAATCCTCCGCATGCATGTTACGTTGTCCGAGTTTGTCGGCACTTTGTCGGTGCCAATATAATGCAAGAAACCAGTTGCAAACGTCAAAGACTTTGGCCTTCTCAGAGCACACAAAATGCCAAAAACTGCAAAACGAAAGCCAAGGGCTTTGGAGTCTGGACTCTAGAGCACCAGGAGAGGGGCCCAAAAGGGTTTTCCAAAAGGACAGGTTGCCCTGGGGAACAGTTAGTACTCCAAACTTCCAAAGTGTCAAATTGGACGCCTAAAGGTTGCCCTTGGGAAGTTCGATCCGAAAGAGGCGCGAGTCGAGCAGCCAAAGGTTGGCCCTTGGAAGTGGAAAGAGTCAACATGAGCACCAAACGGTTGGCACGTGCGAGTTCAAAGGAGATTCGGCGAGCCGGACAGTGAGGGTTTCAAAACATACTCCTTTCGCCCTGACTTTTCTAAAGGCCAGGCATCATGCCCTGAATCTATCTGCTCCATAGTATTAGAAGGAAACCAATCACATAGACAAGAGCAGCACGGAAAGGTATTACAGCCTTGCCCTCACTCCAATTCTATGGTGCAAGCCTACCCCCTGGCTGGGGAGGGGTCCAGGGGGGGGGGAGGGAGGGGGGGTGTTCCCTCGTATGAGAGGAGAAAAAATAGACAAGCAGAAACAGATGATTGATTGATAGTTAAAAAAAAAAAAAAAAAAAAGAGTTCCATGATGACAAGCTTTCTGTCTATACAGCTCCAGCAGAGGCCGCTGTGAAAGAAGTTGCGAAAAAATGGTGACGTACCAAGAGGGTAATCACCCCCCTTATTACAGAAATATCAGTGAAACAACAGTGAAGCTTCTTTTGCTTTAGGCGGACACGTAAGCGCCCTGCCACCCATGGAGTGGTAGAGGGAGTCTTTGTGAACTCGGAAGCCCCCTATTTGCAGAATATATATCAGGGAAGTATCACGGAAGAATACCAGAAGGTTCTTCGCTTTAGGCACACAAGTTCCGTGCCGCTCGTGGAGTCCATTTAGTCATCAGCCTATTCCTCAGCAGCTGAGGAATACACTGACTATATAGTTTTTGGTATTGAAGTGTAACACAATTTTAAGCTATCCTGTAGTCAGTCAGCCTATTCCTCAGCTGCTACATGTTTTCCAGTGAGAGTAGAGAGAAAGATCTAAGTGCATCAAGGGGATTCAAGACAAGACAAACTAAGATGCCAAAAAGCAGGGACACTGAAGACGAACTAAATATATTATACAATAAAAACCGTACAAATCTTGATGCCGACAAACCGTACAAATCGCATGAGGAAAAGATCTGAAACACTGGAGTGAAGCAGGGAGAATGCTGGAAGTCCAAATCATGATATTTGTTAACTACAAGAATTAAAACCACTGCTACCTTGCACAGGCAAACTCAAAACACAAATAGAACCGATGGTCCTATAGCACATTCTTCGGAGCTCGGGTGCCACAGGACCGAAATGGCCGCCAGCGGCGGCCAGAAGGCAAAAAAAAAAGTTGCACTGGCACTTTGGCAAACATTGGCGTTCAGTTCTTTTAAAATGGAAGGGGCTGCATCTGAACGTCAGCACCAGAAGATGTAGGCTCATGTAGCCCAGAAAGCTGCAGCTAGAGAGACATAGCTACACCCTCCCCTGAATGTGCTTTAAGTATGAATGAGCTCTTGCCAAAGTGGAAAGTCATCACAAAACATGCACATATACACATGTACGTTCTGAGAGGATTTAATGCTTACACATGTTTAATGAATGATGCAAAATCGCATGCACATTGTAAGCCAAGCAATCAAGTGAGCCAGTGGGTGTGTATGTGTG